GATGCTTTTGAGCTGTGGTGCTGGAGGAGAGTTCTGAGAGTGCCTTGGACTGCGAGAAGATCCAACCAGTCCATCCTCCAGGAAATAAAGCCCGGCTGCTCACTGGAGGGAAGGATACTAGAGACAAAGTTGAAGTACTTTGGCCACATCATGAGGAGACAGCAAAGCCTAGAGAAGACAATTATGCTGGGGAAAGTGGAAGGCAAAAGGAAGAGGGGCCGACCAAGGGTAAGATGGATGGATGGCATCCTTGAAGTGACTGGACTGACCTTGAAGGAGCTGGGGGTGGTGACGGCCGACAGGGAGCTCTGGCGTGGGCTGGTCCATGAGGTCACGAAGAGTCGGAGACGACTAAACAAATGAACAACAACAACAAGAGAGGATGCAAGGCTTGCGTCCAGCGGGAAGCCCGGGGCCCCGAGAAGGAGCCTTTAGAGGAACTTTCCCTACTAAGCAGGCTTTAGGAGACTTCAACTTCAATACAACAGTCTTTATTAATGAACAAGCAGGAATTGTAAGATTTCTAAATAGACTATTGGGTCTTGCACTCTTGTTTACAAGAAACAGGCACTATCTTCAAAAAACTTTGTTTAACAGAAAAATTCCCCTTTAAAGCTCCTCCCAGGCTTCTGTGAACTTAAACCTAACTGGTTTGAGTCTGCTACCAGCTGAACTGCGTCTCAGAACCGAACAGACGTACCATCAGGCTTGAAATCACTTAGCTGAAGATGAAGAGCTGTTATTCCCTCCGGAGGTCCTCAGGGCTGTGAAGCTGTTCCCTGGAACCTTTTGGAAATCTGTAGAGGCCTTTAATCTGTTCTTCCCCAGGAAGACTTAAAAGACGAAGCCTTTGCACAGGAGGAACGTCTGTACGCATCCTCTGCCTTGGCTTCCCTTGTTGTGACTAACTGAAAAATGGCCCCTTCCCTCCAAAAGGCAAAAAAGGGGCGGGATCAGGGATCCTAACTATAATTGGCAGGTGGCTTACCCTATAAATGCAAATTATAACAGGAAACCCCCTGCTGCCAAATCCCAAGCATGGGATTGCACACAAACATTTAAACACAGCAAATAAATCTGGAGCTCCTGGAACAGCTGTTCCAGAACAAATAGTCTAGCTTGCTATTGACCTATGCAGCCCAAAAGACAGTTGCATCTGTCAAGTAGGAAATTTAGGTACTCTTTTATTTAGGGAGGCTAATTTAACTAATTTATTATGCCATAAAAACATTTAGCAGCATGCCTAAGAATGAGGAAGTACTCCATCAAGGACTTGGTGTCACAAGTGGATGGTGAAGCGGCAGCTCCCCCTGCGGCCGGAATCGAGCATACTGTCGTGAAGCCAGAAAAGCTGGAATGTTAAATTGCTTCTGTGTCTGTCTATATATGTTGTATGTCTATGGCATTAAATGTTTGCCACATATATGTGCATTGTAATCCGCCTTGAGTCCCCCACGGGGTGAGAAGGGCGGAATATAAATACTATAAATAAATAAATAGTAAATAAATCATTTTAAATCTGGTTTCTGCCTCTTGCAGAATTCTGGGGTTTGCAGTTTAGGGAGGAGCCTTAAACAGCCTCACTAAACTATAAACGTCAGGAGAGAATGCTTCTAGAACATGGCCATATAGCCCGAAAAACCTACAACAACCCATGTAGTAGACTATAAGAATGACGGAGATGTTGACCAAAATACAGGAATAAATAAAATCATAACACAAAACAAAGAAATAAATAAAAATTCAGGAATACAGAATACATTTTTTTATAAAAAAAAAACAAAACAATAAAGAGAAAAATCGAGAATACTTTTTTTTAAAGCTCTTATTTGCACTTCTTCTTATGGGTAAGATGGAAAAAAGTACTATATAAAGACATTGCCAGAGGAGTTTCTTCCCCTTTGGGAAAAGCATTTCCTCCCAGCTTCAAAAGCCACGTGTTTCCCAGGCTCATTGTTTTGGACTTCCTTTCCCAGAATTCCTGCTCCTTGCCCAAGGAAGCTGAGGTTTTTGGGAGTTGAAGTCCAAAAGCCTGGAGAACCAAGCTACTTGAAGGCAAACCTTCGAGATCTGGAACTACAGGTGGTTAGAGAGGACTTCCGGCAGTGTTGTGTTTTGCCCGGATGTGGGCTGTGTCCTCCTCTTCCTGGTTGGTCTTCTCCTCCAAAAGAGGCTTCTTGGGGAACTCGTGGCTTTGGCTTTCCTGTCTTGGAGGGTTTTGGAGGAAAAGCAGGAGATCTTGGATTTAGATGGAAGGAACTGGAGGGATGAAGGTGAGTGAAAGCAGAGGGAGGGAAGGAAAGGAAATAAGGAAAGGTTGGTCTGATGGGAAATGTTGCAACTCCACCTATGGAGGAAGAACAGGAGGGTTGCAACTGGAATGTCCTGGGATGCATCTCCACTGGAGAAGGAGTGCACTTCACACCCTTGGCACTGCACTGCTTCCATGCTGGGGGATCCTGGAAATTGCAAATTTCCAAGGTCCTTTCCCTTCTCTGCCAAAGAGTGCTGGTGCCTCCCCAAACTACAGTTGCCCTGATCCTATAACATTCAGCCTGGCAGTTCAAGGGGGCACCACTTTAACCTAGCACCACAGGTAAATCATCAGCAATTATAAGATCTAGCAACCAAAAGGTTGCAAGTTCAAAGCCCCAGGCTGGCATGAGCTGCCAACTGTCAGCTTAGCTCATTGTTTACCTAAGCCAGGGGTCCTCAAACTAAGGCCCGGGGGCTGGATGCGGCCCTCCAAGGTCATTTACCCGGCCCTCGCTCTGGGTCAACTTAAGTATGAAACTACTTGAAAGCACACTATAACAACAACAATCCTATCTCATCAGCCAAAAGCAGGGCCACACTTTCCACTGAAATACTAATAAGTTTATATTTGTTAAAATTGTATTGTTTTAAAATGTTTTTTGCACTACAAGTAAGATATTTGAAGTGTGCATGATTTTTTCGAATTATAATCCGGCCCGCCAACAGTCTGAGGGATTGTGACCTGGCCCTCTACTTAAAAAGTTTGTAGACCCCTGACCTAAGCAATTCAAAAACAACTTTAACTGTGATTCCACAGGCGGTCCATCGTTGTCCAAGTAGGATTGTCTTCCAAGATCAGTCTACTGGCGGTGGGTCCATAGGTGACTGTGGAGCCTTCTTCTTGACCTGCATGTTCTCCCACAGTGAGCGCATTGGTTTCTATGTGGAAGGCAGTCCCGGTCGGGGTTGGCTTGATGCATCTTCCTCTTGTTTCTCTCTTTCACTCTCCATTTGTGACTCTTCAAATTCTGCAGCACTGCTGGTCACAGCTGATCTCCAGCAGGAGTGCTCAAGGGCCAAGGCTTCCCAGTTCTCAGTGTCTATGCCAGAGTTCTTTAAGTTGGCTTTGAGCCCATCTTTAAATCTCTTTTCCTGTCCACCAATATTCCGTTTTCTGTTCTTGAGTTCAGAGTAGAGCAACTGCTTTGGGGGACAAAGTGGCTGGTCCAGCGGAGTTGATGGCGGAGGACCATCGCTTCAATTCTGGTGTTCTTTGCTTCTTCCAGCACACTGACATTTACCCGCTTGTCTTCCCAAGAGCTGTGATTAGAGAAATTAGGTACCGCTAAAAGTGGGGGAGGTGTATTACGACACAAAACGACTCCCCCTGGCAAACACAATAGCATATCCACACACTCTTCCGGACCACAGCTCCCAGCATCCCCTATACCAGGCCCTATAGGAGAGGAGGTTTACCACAGCTGGTAAATCATCAGCAATGATAAGATCTATCMACCAAAAGGTTGCAAGTTCGAAGCCCCAGGTTGGAATGAGCTGCCARCTGTCAGCCTAGCTCATTRTTTACCWAAGCAATTYRAAAACAGCTTTAGCTATGATTAGAGAAATTAGGTACCGCTAAAAGCAGGGGAGGTGCTTTATGACACTATAAAGAAAAAATATCAGAAAATGTTGGGTGACCAAAAGGAAGGAGGAAGTCCTGGCGGCTCTTCGTCATAGAGGATAGAGCAACAGCACCCCCTAGACTCAAGCCCAACCTTTCATGGCACCAAAAACAGCTGAAACAAACCGCCTCCTTCTGTTCTGTCTGTCTGTGTATTGTCTATACAAAATGGCATTGAATGTTTGCCATGTACTGTGATGCGCCCTGAGCCCCTTTGGGTTGAGAAGGGCGGAATATAAATAAAGTGTTATTATTATTTATTGTTAGACAGTGTAGATGCACCCACAGATGTTGTGACCATTCTAATTGTTTTTAGTTGGTTTATGGGAGGAAAAGAGTGAGAATAAATGGAATCTTGTGCACACCGCACATGCCTTATATGTTCGTGCAAATAATACCATAAAAGAACAATACAATATTTAAAATGAAGAACAATTTTAAGCAACATAAATATCAGTAGTTCAATGGAAAGTGTAGGCCTACTTTTGGCTGATGAGGTAGACAAGTTCATTAGGATTGTTGTTGTTGTTGTTTACCTTCGAGTCATTTCAGACTTAAATCAACCCTAAGACTCAAGTTTAGGACAGGGACCAAGTGAAGGGCCTTGGAGGGGTGCAGCTGACCTGCAGGCTCTAGTTTGGGGACCCTTTGGCCTAGACACTTTTTATTTTATTTATTTGTTTGTTTACCATAATTATATACCTCCTTTCTCAGCCTGGAGGTGACTCGGGGAGGTTTACAAATGGTAAAATTCAATGCCCCCAATAACATAAAATATAATTAAAACATTGACATATAATATAAACCATATTAAAACAATAGAGACAATAAAAACAATAAAACACAAATCCTCAATGTCTCATTATTTTTCCCTTTTCATGTTTACTTATTCAACAGCCAGTTCCATTCTACTCCTGCACCTCTGCTTTCGTAACTCTTCCTCTTTAAAATCTGAATGTGGTGTAACATTCTTCTTTTTTTATTCCAGTTTTCCAGGTAGAAAGCTCCATGAGGATGTTTACACGGTTGCAGTAGACTATAGTATTTTCCCACCGTTTTAGTCTAGTATTGTCAAAGGATGAAAATGGAGACCCGAGAGGACATGACAGGTCATATACCAGGGCAGGTGCTACGGGAAGTGAGGTGGAGCTGCCATGTTGGGACAACGGAGGCATTCCTGCAAAGGAGACCAGCAGAAGTGAAACAGGAACTGGACAAAGACTTGCTTCAGCAGTGGGAAACCCAATGGCAGGAGTTTCTGAAGAGCGTGGAAGGCCCTCACCCAAACTGGGGGGCCTCTGAGTCAAGGGAGGAGCCGTGGGATGACGCCAAAGCCTTCCTGGCCTCCTTTGAGCAAGTGGCCCAAGCCTGCCGGTGGCCCAAGGAAGAGTGGGTTCCCAGGCTCCTGCCAGCATTGAGCGGAGAGGCCAAGCGGGCCTTCACCAGCCTGGAGATTGAAAGCAGGGAGGATTATGGGAAAGTGAAGGCTGCCATCTTGCAAGGGGACGCCATGCGTCGGGAGGAGCAACGGCAGTGCTTCCGGCATTTCCGCTACCAGGATGCCGAGGGGCCGAGAGGGGCTTACGGCCAGCTTCAGGAACTGTGTTGCCGGTGGCTGAAAGCTGAAAGGCATTCGAAGGAGGAGATCCTGGAGCTGCTGATCTTGGAGCAGTTCTTGGCCATCCTGCCTCCAGAGATAGAGGCCTGGGTCAAGGAATGTGGTCCAGAGACTTGCTCCCAGGCGGTGGCCTTGGCAGAGGACTTCCTCCAGAAGCAAAGAGAGGAAGAGGCCAAGAGGCAGGCAAACCAGGTGAGGACCATTCATTAGGTTCCAGGCTTCCCAAAGGGCTGCTTTTGTGCAAGGTGCCAACAGATCATCTTCATTTATCAAGCCAGGGTAGCAGTGTGGTTAGGTCTGGAGTAAGTAAAGTGTAGTCTGTGTGGAGCTATCTTTGAGCCTTCTTAGGTCTCTCAGCACCCCCTCTGCCCTAATAGTTAAACCTCAGCTTCCTTTTGGTGGTTTTAAAAAGGCCTCTTTTGTGCCTGAAACTTCAATGAAATGAGAAAAACATGGCAAAATTACATCACAAATTCCCATAAGGTGGTGGGCATACTGAGATTATAATTTAAGAAAAAGTTGAAATACAGTGGGGGTGAGGAATTCCCTGCAAAGAGCAAATGCACCCCCCATCAAATGCCCAGGCAGAAGGTTTCATGTGGGACTGTGCCTTGCAAGATCTGGGTTCCAGTCCCTTCTGCACCATGGAACATATTGTGTGACCATGGGCCAGTTGTATTCTCTGGCTATGACCTACCTCACAAATACTATGAGACCTATATAGAGCAGAGGAAAGTCCTATACATGAGATATACATTTGGATAACAAGTGATAAATATTTTAGGTGCTGTTAGGAGAGGAGACAGCAGGTTCCCCTGAAGCTGGCCAAGCCCTGCCTGAGATTGAGCAGAAGACGTTTAGTGTGGAGACCAATCAGGAAGATGATGCTGGGGATGCTGGACCCTTGGGTAAGAAGAATGGGCTTTTGTGTCCTTGGATATTGGGGAATCTTCTTCCTAGACTAACCACAGCATTCTGGCTACTTCTTCCCCTGAGTAGGACATTCCCTGTCGCAGCTATGGTGTTGCTGCTTTATAGTTGGGGTTGCTTTCAAGCATTCAAACCCCCTTCTCGGAAGCTGCRCCCCGTTGAGAAAAATAATACAATCCASAGAAGAYAAACTTTCTTCCAATAAAGTAAATGTTTAWGCAATAGTCACAAATAAMAGTTTCAATCCATYRAKCCCAATATTCCAGCAAACCTTCCTTGARCTTTTACAGGAATCTATTCCTCTTCYTCTAGCTCTTGCTTTCTTCACAGTCTCATCATYACCATCAGCATTCTCTGCTCRTTCTCTACTCTWCTCTWCTCTACTCTCTACATTCTCAGTCTCTYAATTTGTARTAGCTAAGCTTTCACAGGTGGCTTGACTGTTGCTGGTCATACAATGACTGGACATGATTCTTGCAATCACTTACCCATTTTTCACTTAAGAAATGATCTAAATAATATAAAACTCTGACATTCCCTTAGTCTTTTGGATAAACTAAGCTGAAGGATCTGCCAGGTAGATGGGGCTCCGAGTTCCTGTAATGCTTTGCCAGAGAAGATTGAAGGTTATAGTAACGGGAAGGCCATAGTTTCCCCTTTCCTGGGGTAAGTTAAGGGACTGCATGGGCAGACCCCTGGTTTGGAAATAATCATCACCTATGGTCAGTACTCACTTGGATCATTATTTCCAGTTCTATTAAAGTTTAAAAACATCCAGGGGAAATATACCATAAAATCACACTGAATGATCTATTCTAGTAAATGCCTGTTGCCATGATTCCCAACCTTTTTTTCTGACCAGGGACCACTTTGACCAGGGACCACTCTCCAACATTACTGTGTTTCCCCGAAAATAAGACATCTCCTGAAAATAAGACCTAGTAGAGGTTTTGCTGAATTGCTAAATATAAGCCACTGCCCCCCCACTGCCCAAAAGTAAGACCTAGCAAAGTTTTTGAACTCCCTCTGGTGGTCAGAAGCTGCAATACTGTCCCCCCCCCCCCCGCCCCCCCCCCCCCCCCCCTTCCCCCCTCCCCCCCCCCCCCCCCCCCCCCCCCCCCCCCCCCCCCTCCAAGCCCCCCCCCCCCCCCCCCCGAAGGTTAGACCTAGCAAAGGTTTTGTTTGTTTTGGGGCTAAAATCTGCAAAGATAAGATGTTGAGTATACGATTGGTCCAAAATAGTGAGCAGATTACAGTAACCTCAGTCAACAAGTGGACAACGGAAATGCTAAAAAGTGCAAGTGTGGATCGGGTTGGCAACCACATGGGCCATCTAGTCCACCCCCCTGCCATGCAAGAAGAGCACATTCAAAGAACTTTTTGTGCTTTTAAGCGGTTTATGAATCTGCTGTACATTCTTTTCCTCTGAGCAAATGAGGGCTTTGGAGCATAATAAAGACTGATTGATTGAATAACTGCTCTTATGCTGATGAAGGAGCCGTATAAGATAAATAATCTGAATAAATAAACGTGAAGCTTTTTGTACTACAGAAATAGATGCTTTGAATGGAAAAAGGAAATTAAAAAAATGAAAAACAGTATAGGTTTCAGTTCCTCTTTGGGCTCTTATTCAAGATTCAGAAACTTTCACTGGCTATTCAATATTCCTTGGTCAGTGAAAAGAGAGAAAAAAGGAGACGATACTAACTTCACCAGGGAAGAATTTCCAAAGAACAACCACTGTGTCTTGTTCCCCTCAAATCTTCCCGGGAAACTTCCTGGTGGCATTGTAAGAATGGGTGTTAATTTGCCTCTGCTTTTTTCCCCAGCAGGCAACGAATGGAAAAGTGGGAATGAGGAGCAACTAGGTGAGAATTCCTCAGAAAGAACAGAGTGTGAAGCATTGAAGGAGATTGTCTGGAGCCAAGATGGGCCAGCGAGCCAAGACAGAAGCCACATTGAAGAGCTGGAAGCCAAGTCCTTCCCATTTCTGGTGGAGGACTTCCACAAAATCTCAATCCCGCAGAAAAGCGAAAATGAAAAAAAAAGAATTGCTCTCCCCAGTGTTCGTAATAGAATTCACCTTGCGGATGAATCAGATTCAATGTTTGCAAAGAGCTTCAGTCAGAGTGGAGACCTAAATGAATGTGAAACGCTTTATGAAGGGACGAGTTCCAACATAGACCTGAATCAGAGTATTTCTGCAGATGAGAGACAATGTATGAATTCAAATCTTGGTAAGATGAAGCATCCCAGGATCCAAAAAGGGGAGAAGCTGTATAAATGTTTGGAGTGTGGGAAATGCTTTGATTGGAATTCCCACCTCTTGAGACACCAGATAATCCACACCGGGGAGAAGCCGTATCGGTGCTTGGAGTGTGGGAAATGCTATGGTCAGAGTGCCTATCTTAAGAAACACCAGAGAATCCACACTGCAGAGAAGCCGTATGAGTGCTTGGAGTGTGGCAAGTGCTTTGGCCGGAGTGACAATCTCAAGAAACACCAGAGAATCCACACTGGGGAGAAGCCATATCAGTGCTTGGAGTGTGGGAAATCCTTTGGTCAGAATGCTGATCTCAAACAACACCGGAGAATCCACACCGGGGAGAAGCCATATCAGTGCTTGGAGTGTGGGAAATGCTTTGTTCGGAGAACCCATCTCAAATCACATCAGAAAATTCACACTGGGGAGAAGCCCTATAAATGTATGGAGTGTGGAAAGAGTTTCAGCGACCGGTTCACGATTGTCAGGCATAAGAGCATCCACACCAGGGAGAAAGTCTTCAGGCAAAGTCCCAGCCTGGCTTTACATCAGAGAATCCATGGCAAGAGAAGATGTCACACAAAAATCAGCGTTTGCTGAATATCAGAATGGCTGTGTAAGTCTTTTCACCAAATGCAATGAGCAGTCTAGTTGCATCTTAAAAAGGAATACCCTATACTAGGCATCCTCAGACTTTTTAAGCAGAGGGCCAGTTCACGGTCCCTCAATACCGTGGATGTAGCGTACCTGGATTTCAGTAAGGCCTTCGACAAGGTCCCCCATGACCTTCTGGCAAGGAAACTAGTCCAATGTGGGCTAGGCAAAACTACGGTGAGGTGGATCTGTAATTGGTTAAATGGACGAACCCAGAGGGTGCTCACCAATGCTTCCTCTTCATCTTGGAAAGAAGTGACGAGCGGAGTGCCGCAGGGTTCCGTCCTGGGCCCGGTCCTGTTCAACATCTTTATTAATGACTTAGATGGAGGGTTAGAAGGCAGGATCATCAAGTTTGCAGACGACACCAAATTGGGAGGGATAGCCAATACTCCAGAGGACAGGAGCAGGATTCAAAACGATCTTGACAGATTAGAGAGATGGGCCAAAACTAACAAAATGAAGTTCAACAGTGACAAATGCAAGATACTCCACTTTGGCAGGAAAAACGAAATGCAAAGATACAGAATGGGATGCCTGGCTCGAGAGCAGTACGTGTGAAAAAGATCTTGGAGTCCTCGTGGACAACAAGTTAAACATGAGCCAACAATGTGATGTGGCAGCAAAAAAAGCCAATGGGATTTTGGCCTGCATCAATAGGAGCATAGTGTCTAGATCTAGGGAAGTCATGCTACCTCTCTATTCTGCTTTGGTTAGACCACACCTGGAATATTGTGTCCAATTCTGGGCACCACAATTCAAGAGAGATATTGACAAGCTGGAATGTGTCCAGAGAGGGTGACTAAAATGATCAAGGGTCTGGAGAACAAGCCCTATGAGGAGCAGCTTAAGGAGCTGGGCATGTTTAGCCTGAAGAAGAGAAGGCTGAGAGGAGATATGATAGCCATGTATAAATATGTGAGAGGAAGCCACAGGGAGGAGGGAGCAAGCTTTTTTTCTGCTTCCTTGGAGACTAGGACGCGGAACAATGGCTTCAAACTACAAGAGAGGAGATTCCATCTGAACATGAGGAAGAACTTCCTGACTGTGAGAGCCGTTCAGCAGTGGAACTCTCTGCCCTGGAGTGTGGTGGAGGCTCCTTCTTTGGAAGCTTTTAAACAGAGGCTGGATGGCCATCTGTCAGGGGTGATTTGAGTGCAATGTTCCTGCTTCTTGGCAGGGGGTTGGACTGGATGGCCCATGAGGTCTCTTCCAACTCTTTGATTCTATGATTAAACTGTTGGAAGGCCGCACTATATGTTGAAAAAATGGTAAACGAATTCCTACGCACACCGCACATATCTTATTTGTATCAGAGTGATGCCCCTGGGTCATGCACAGAGTACTTGAGGTTTCCATATCAATTATCACACTACAGACTTCTTGCGTTTCTAAAACAATAAACTTTACTGAAAGCATCTTCTATATGCGACTACATGTTGAAGAGGAAAGATGGCGACTGACAAAGCAATAGCATGAAACCCACAGACAAAGAAAATCCGCCCTCCTGTCTTATCTATGTTCTGGCTGGTACACTCCCTATTTTTCTCAGAGCAAAGGAATTCAGTTATCAGAGTTTCAAAGATTCTACTGTCTGGCCTGTAACTCTGTAACAATAACAATTTCCTGCACATGTGAACAAAAATGAACATGACTGAATCCATCTTAAGATACAATACTAACACATTGATAAACATATATGAAATAAGTGCAATTATCCTGACAATTTGTATACAATAGGATGACATTATTGTCATTGTACATTGTACGAGGGTTGAATGAAATGTAATGCCTCCACCTTCGTAACTCCTCAACAGATGGCAGTACTGGTACGCGGCAAGTACTGGCTTGTTCAGTAGACTCTCCTCTACAGATCCATTTTGGCGGGAAGGCTTAGCATTGAACGGTTGTGTTGTTAAAATGTGAAGTATGGAACCCTGCACAGATGGTCCTCAGTGCTACCTCAATGCAAAACCATGGAGTTCAATATTGTTACATGTCTAGGATATAAACTGTCTCTCAGTCTGTTTGTCCTTATTTTTGTCATCTTGTACTGTCTTCTGACCCATCAAGAAACATCTTGTGGTTGGAAAACTAGGACTCCAACCAGGGGAACCCACTGGGTGACCTTGGGCAAGTCCCAGTCCTCAGCCTTAGTGTAGGTTATGGTAAAGTATTTCTTGGATTAAACCTTCACAAGAAAACACTACGAGAAGCTGGCATTAACATTAGGAAGGATTTCCTGACAGACAGGGCTGCTCAGCAGTGAAAATATGCTGCTACCTCAGAGTGTGGTGGAGTCTCTTTTTCTGGAAGTTTTTTTAACAGAGGCTTGATGGCCATCACTGGAATGCTTTGATTGTTTGCTACTACATGGTAAAAGTTAGACTGGATGGCCCTGGGGGTCTCTTCCAACTCTGATTCAGTGACTAGGACACCGGTGCTGTTGGATCCCTCACCACTCCCAGCTTCTCATCGAGTTTGCTTGGGAAGGTTTCTTCCAAGTAAGTTACTTGGAAGAAACCTTACCAGAAAACACCACGAGAAGCTGGTAGTGGTGAGGTATCTCTAGACATTGAATCCTAGAATTGGAAGGAGCACACCATCAAAACATTCCAGACAGAAGGCCATCAAGCTTCTGTTTAAAAATTCCCAGAGGAGACTCCACCACACTCCAAAGTAGCAGCACATACGTTTGCTGAAAAGCTCTGTCAGCACATTATTCCTTTTTTTTCATATTCCTCTACCTGTGACCAAGTTGCCTGTCTAATCAGGCTTCCTGAGTTTTTCTTTAATAAAAAGATTAATTTGTCCATGTCCTTAATCTTCCTTATTTTATTTATCCACTGGTCTGTGTCTGGTATTTCCTTCTGTTTCCAATATTTTGCATAGATAATCTTGGTGGCTGTCGTCAGATATGTAAATAAAATGTCTTCATTAGCATCTAATAATAAGTCTGAGTCTAACAATCCTAGTAAATAATATTCTTGCGGATCTATTGACATTCTTCATGTATAGATTTCCAGTATTTTTTAGATTCTTTACAAGTACAGCATATATGAAAAAAAAAACGGCTATCTTAGTCATTACATTTCCAACAGTTCTTTTGTGTGTTTCTATACATTAAACTTAATTTTCTTGGTATAATGTAGCACCGGTGGAACATTTTCATCAAGTTTTTCTTTAAGTCTGTTGCGTATGTGTAGTTTAATTTTTTATTCCAAATAAGTTCCCAATCTTCTCAAATTTTCTGCCCATTTAATCATTTTTAACTATTTCCCCTTCTGTTGACCATTCTAACAATTTATTGTAAATTTTTGTAATAGTCTTTTTTTCAGTTATTAAAAATTTTATTCCAGAATTCCTCCTTCCGATTAGATCCAATTTTAAAAATCCTGGTTGTAGTATCCTCTAATTTGTAAGTAGTGAAGTCATGAAATGTTTCTAAAGTTTTGTTTTAGCTCTTCATGGGATTTCAAAGTTAATGAGTCTTTTGTCAAAAGTTCCTTATAAGTTGGCCATTTAGGCCAACCTAAAAGTCTTCTTTGGTTGGCTTCCATTGTGGAGAGCCATAACAGAGTTTTAGAGTAGAAGTTCCTTTTGTATTTCTCCCAGACCCTCAATAGTGGAGATCTTACAAATAATAACCCACTGTATATCCATCTGGGCCCGGGGCTTTGTTAGAGTCCATACTTTTTATTGTGTTTACAATCTCTTCTTCCATTGTTTCTTTATTTAATTTTTCCCTCTGAGATTTGGATATTTTGGTGATTTAAAACTGCCAATATATTCAAAGATATCCTCCTTTGATATTTGATCCTGTGCATAGAGATGTTTTTTTAAAAAGCTTTAAATTCTTCCAAAATTCCCTTTTCTGTTGTTACTACCTTATCCCCTCTTTTAATCCTTAAAATTTGCTGCAGTTGTTTCTTTTTCCGGACTTGTCTTGATAACCATTTACCAGTTTTGTTTGCGTTTTCAAAATATTGTTGTTTCAAAAACTTTTAACTGTTTCTGATATAATTAGCTTATTTTCAGGGTTTCTTTTCAGCCCATGGTCAAGAATAGACATGGTGTGGACCACAAAAAAAATATTCACAAAAATTCATGAATTAAATATGATTTCTGTCCACTCCCCTTTGGAAATCATTTTCAACCAGAAAAAATACCAAGGGAGATGAAGGCTAAATAGAAAATCTGATTTAAAAAAAGGAGGACATCAGTAGATATAAAAAAATGATTAAAATTATATGGGTATTAATGATACTACAGGCATGAATCCTAACATAGTTTGGGATGCCTCAAACGCAGTAACACTGTTCAATGGAGAAAAAGTTGGGGGCCTGAAAATAGTTGTTCTTTTATGATTTTGGGGTGCTGAAAATGAAAATGACATTTAAAAATGTATATTGGCTCTAGTTTTTATTATATAAGCAATCACGTGATCACGTATGGTTGAAAAAATGCATGTTGCGACTTACACTATGGAAGATTCTAGAACAGTGGTTCTCAACCTGGGGTCCCCAGATGTTTTTGGCCTACAAGTCCCAGAAATCCCAGCCAGTTTATCAGCTGTTAGGATTTCTGGGAGTTGAAGCCCAAAAACATCTGGGGACCCCAGGTTGAGAACCACTGTTCTAGAATACTCTAGAAAGTTTGATGACGCAGTATTAGTGCCGTGTGCAAAAGCCAGAAAGCCCTATATAAGGCCAGACTTTTGAACGGTGAGGGTCAGTCAGTTGAAGACTGAGACAGTATCGTTAAACATCGTTTTACATTGTTCTTTTTACTGTAGTTATGCCTCGCACGTGTGTAAATAAAGCACTATGGAAAAAAGATATCAAGGCCAATGGACTCCGTCAATGCTGTCAGACTACTGCTGGAGCATTGTAAGAGACAATCCTTTCCTTGAATACAAAAGAAAAGTCAAGAGAAGCAAACAGGATAAAAACTAAAGTCACGATTAAAGCGACATTTAAACGTTCAGAGTTTTCAACTGCATTAGGCCTACTAATATAGTTTCTTGCTGCACAAACATAAACAATAGACGAATTAAATAAATATTTCTCATGTATAAACTATTGGCAATATAATTTGACTAAAATTTAGTAAATATTCATGGTTTATATACATGCAGTAAGGTTAGGCGCATTATCATAATATTAACGAATTACCTATTGTGGAGAAAATTGAAATAGCTGTTGCATAAAAACCAGAGCCAGACAACTGGAAAATAGAGGGAGAAACCGTGGAGGCCGTGACAGACTTTGTATTTCTAGGTGCAAAGATTACTGCAGATGCAGACTGTGGCCAGGAAATCAGAAGACGCTTACTTCTTGGGAGGAGAGCAATGACCAATCTCGATAAAATAGTGAAGAGTAGAGACATCACACTGGCAACAAAGATCTGCATAGTTAAAGCAATGGTATTCCCTGTAGTAACCTACGGATGTGAGAGCTGGACCTTAGGGAAGGCTGAGCGAAGGAAGATCGATGCTTTTGAGCTGTGGTGTTGGAGGAAAGTGCTGAGAGTGCCTTGGACTGCGAGAAGGTCCAACCAGTCCATCCTCCAGGAAATAAAGCCCGACTGCTCACTGGAGGGAAAGATACTAGAGACAAAGTTGAAGTACTTTGGCCACATCATGAGGAGACAGCAAAGCCTAGAGAAGACAATTATGCTGGGGAAAGTGGAAGGCAAAAGGAAGAGGGGCCGACCAAGGGCAAGATGGATGGATGGCATCCTTGAAGTGACTGGACTGACCTTGAAGGAGCTGGGGGTGGTGACGGCCGACAGGGAGCTCTGGCATGGGCTGGTCCATGAGGTCACGAAGAGTCGGAGACGACTGAACGAATGAACAACAACAAAACCACAAGAGCCAATTAACACATTTAATTATTATATTTGAATTCAGCATGTTAAATTTATTAAGAAACGGCACATTTCGTTTCCGCGACTGAGAAAAACTGAAAATTTGTAGAACAGTGTAATTAGAGGCTGCCTGATTCCGCAAAGTGCAAAATAAATAAATAAGTGAAATTTAAGGATTTAAAACAAATTAATACAAGATATATAAGAACAAATACATTTTTCAAAACGAAAATAATACATATTCAAGAATAAATGTGTATATAAGAACGATGGAGATGTTAACCAAAAATACAAGAATAAATAAAAGAGAATCATAACACAAAACAAAGTAATAAATAAACATTCTAGGATACAGGAGACACAAAAGAAAAAAATCCCAAAATAATAAAGAAAATTCAAAGAATACAAAACAGTCCTTATTTGCACTTCTTCTTATGGAAAAGATGGAAAAGGTACTATATATATAAAGATATTGTCAGGGGAATTTCTTCCCCTTTGAGAAAAGAATTTCCTCCCAGCTTCAAAAGCCACGTGTTTCCCAGGCTCTGGGCTTCCAGTGTTTTGGACTTCATTTCCCAGAATTCCTGCTCCTTGTCCAAGGAAGCGGTGGCTTCTGGGAGTTGAAGTCCAAAAGCCTGGAGGACCAAAGGCGGCTTGAAGGCAAACCTTCGAGGTTTGGAACTACAGGTGGCTGGCTAGAGAGGACTTCCTGCCGTGTTGTGTTTTGCAGGCATGTGGAGTAGCGTGTCCTCCTCTTCCTGGTTGGGCTTCTTGGGGAACTCCTGCCTTTGGCTTTTCTTTCTTGGAGGTTTTTAGAGGGAAAGGAGAGAGATCTGAGCCAGAGTTCTTGGATTGAGATGGAAGAAACTGGAGGGAGAAAGGTGAGTGAAGACAGAGGAAGGGAAAGAGAGGAAAGGGAAAGTGGGTCTGATGGGAAATGTTGCCTCTCCTCCTTTGGGAGCAGGATGAGGAAGAACAGGGGGGTTGCAACTGCATTGCTAGAGGATGCCTCTCCACTGGAGAAAGAGTGGAGTTCACACCCCTGGCACTGCCCTGGCTCAGTGATGGGGGATCCTGGGAATTGCAGTTTTCCAAGGTCTTTTCCTCCCCAAACTACATTCTATAGCAGGCAGGAACAAACTTAGACCCTCCAGGTATTTTGAACTTCAACGCCCATAACTCTTAACACTCTACCAGCTGTTAGAAATTGTGGGAGTTGACATCCAAAACTGGCCCCCCAGTTATTGCGACCAGTTTAAATTGGGCAACAGTATGATAGCTGGGACCCAATGCGTTGACAGCACAGCGAGTAAGAGATGCAAGTGTGACAGAGTCGTGGCAAGATAGTTCGCCGGAAAGGGGTGTGTGGAAAGGGGCACACACACACAACAAACAGACAAGCATAGTGCTTAAGGTTATCCGGATATCGAATGCAAACACATTCAAATACGTAATGTCTTCGCTTCTCTAATTCTGACCCGCGTGGCCCAACCAGCATTGGGTCCCAGCTCTCATACTTTTGCCTTAAAACGTACTTTCTGCATGTTTTGAGTTCTCTTAAAGTTCTCTTTCTATCTTCGTCCTGAGTCCCCCTTCGGGGGTTGAGAAGGACGGGATAGAAATGCGAGAAATAATAATAATAAACGGTTCTCTTATTTTGTCAAGTAGTGAGCTGCTTTGGGTCCCAATTATGGCAGGAAAAGAGGGAGAATAAATGAATTCCAATGCACACTGCACATGTCTTATTTATAGTGCAAAAAATACCATGAAAGAACACCACAATTTTTAAAATGAATAACAGTTTTAAGCAACAAAACATTATGTCAATGGGAAGTGTGGGCCTGCTTTGGGCGGATGAGATAGTCAAGTGAATCAGGATTGTTGTTGTTGTTGTGCGTCTTCAAGTCATTTCGGACTTAGGGCAGCTCTGAGACTCAAGTTTAGGCAGGGACCGAGTGAAGGGCCTTGGAGGGGCGCAACCAACCTGCAGGGTCTTGTTTGGGGACTCATTGGACTAGACTTTTTTTCCTTTTTTGTGATTACTTCTTCAATGGCTAGTTCCATTCCAGCCCTGCAATTCTGCTTTCATAATTCTTCCTCTTTAAAAGCTGGATGTTGTGTTATATTCTTTTTTCCTTCCAGTTCTCCTGACAGAAATCTCCATGCAGATGTTTACATTGCTACAGTAGAGTCTAGCATTTCCCACCTTTTCAGGCCACTATCCAAACATGAAAATGGAGACCCAAGAAGACCTTACAAGTCATATACCAGGGCAGGTGCCACGGGAAGTGAGAGGAAGCTGCCATGTTGGGACAACGGAGGCATCCCTGCAAAGGGGACCAGCAGAGGTGAAACAGGAGCCCATCAAAGACTTGCTTTTGCAGTGGGAAACCCAATATCTGGAGTTTCTGAAGAGCGTGGAAGGCCTTCACCCAACCTGGGGGACCTCTGAGTCAAGGGAGGAGCCATGGGACGACGCCAAAGCCTTCCTGGCCTCCTTTGAGCAAGTGGCCCAAGCCTGCCGGTGGCCCAAGGAAGAGTGGGTGCCCTGGCTCCTGCCAGCATTGAGCGGAGAGGCCAAGCGGGCCTTCACCGGCCTGAAGGCCGAAGGCAGGGAGGATTATGGGAAAGTGAAAGTCGCCATCCTGCACAGGGACACCATGCGTCGGGAGGAGCAGCGACAGTGTTTCCGGCGTTTCCGCTACCAAGAGGCCGAGGGGCCGAGAGGGGCTTACGGCCAGCTTCAGGAACTGTGTTGTCGGTGGCTGAAAGCTGAAAGACAATCGAAGGAGCAGATCCTGGAGCTGCTGATCTTGGAGCAGTTCTTGGCTGTCCTGCCTCCAGAGATAGAGGCCTGGGTCAAGGAATGTGGTCCAGAGACTTGCGCCCAGGCGGTGGCCTTGGTGGAGGACTTCCTCCAGAAGCAGGAAGAGGAAGAGGCCAGGAGGCAGGCAAACCAGGTGAGGACTGTTCATTGGGTTCCAGGCTTCCCAAAGGAGATGAAACAGGAGCCCAATAAAGACTCTCTTCAGCAGTGGGAAATCCAATCACAGGAGTTCCTGAAGAGCATGGAAGGTCCTCCCCGGGGAGCCTCTCAGTCGAGGGAGGAGCCGTGGGACGACGCCAAAGCCTTTTTGGCCTCCTTTGAGCAAGTGGCCCAAGCCTGCCGGTGGCCCAAGGAAGAGTGGGTGCCCCGGCTGCTGCCAGCATTGAGCGGAGAGGCCAGGCGGGCCTTCACTGGCATGGAGACTGAAGACAGGGAGGATTATGGGAAAGTGAAGGCTGCCATCTTGCATGTAGATGCCATGCGCCAGGAGGAGCAACGGCGATGTTTCCGGCATTTCTGCTACCAGGATGCCGAGGGGCCGAGAGGGGCTTACGGCCAGCTTCAGGAACTGTGTTGCCGGTGGCTGAAAGCTGAAAGGCATTCAAAGGAGGAGATCCTGGAGCTGCTGGTCTTGGAGCAGTTCTTGGCCATCCTGCCTCCAGAGATAGAGGCCTGGGTCAAGGAATGTGGTCCAGAGACTTGCTCCCAGGCGGTGGCCTTGGCGGAGGACTTCCTCAAGAAGCAGCAAGAGGAAGAGGACAGGAGGCAGGCAAACCAGGTGAGGACTCAGTTCTTGTGGGTTTTTTCGGGCTATATGGCCATGTTCTAGAGGCATTTCTCCTGACAGGTGAGGACTGTTCATTGGGTTCTAGGCTTCCCAAAGGGCTGCTTTGTGCAAGCTGCCGAAATATCTTCTTCATTTATCAAGCCTGGGTGGAGTAAGCAAAGTTTAGCCTGTATGGGGCTATGTTTGAGCCTTCTTATATCTCCCAGCACATACTCTGCCCCAATAGTTAACCTGTAGTGATTTTAAAAATTTTGACTTTGTAATTTTAAAAAGGCTTCTTTTGTACCTGAAACAGCCATGTAAGGAGATACTGAATTTTAAATTTAAGAAAAAGTTGAAATACAGTGTGGGGTGAGGAGCACCCTGAAAAGAGCAACTGCAGTGCCCATCAAATGCCCAGGCAGTAGTTTTAATGTGGGATTGTGCCTTGCAAGATCTGGGTTCAACTCCTTTTTGGACCATGAAGCGCATTGTGTGACCATGGGCTAGTTATTTTCTCTGGTTGTGACCTACCTCACAAATACTTTGAGGACTATGTAGAGCAGAGCAGAGCCATACACGTGAGATATACATTGGGTTAACAAGTGCTACATATTTTAGGTGCTGTTAGAGGAAGAGGAGAGAGTGAGTTCCCCTGAAGCTGTCCAAGCCCTGCCTGAGATGGAGGAGGAGGAGAAGCTTCGTATGGAGATCAAAGAGGAAGATAACGACAGGGATGCCGGACCCTTGGGTAAGAAGAGTGGGCTGTTTGTGTCCTTGGATGTTGGGGGTGCTTTTTCCTAGACTAACTGCAGCACTGTGGCTGCTTCTTCCCTGAGTAGGGCCTTCCCATCGTCCTTTGGGTGGTTTTAAACCCAAGGGTCTGCCAGGTACATGGGCCTCCCAGCTTTTCCAGGGAGGATTGAAAGTTGTAGTAACTGGAAGGCCATATATAAAAATCTTCTGATCGTTCGTTAAGGTAACGAGGGACTTTTAACACTGTTGGGGGAAAAAATATCACATCCACCTGCTGACACCAATTATAAAATTAGATTGATCATTAGATCCCCTGAGAATGGCATGACTAAAAGTGTCATGCCATGAACACCACTTTAAAGGATCATGGTACTAATCTCACAGTTAGACACTACTATGCTGGAATATGCTTCTTGGCACGGAACATTTAGATGTATGTTGAGGTAACGTGTATATACTTTGGTAGAGTTGCTGCCACCACCCAAGGAAATTTGGGAACTACTAAAGTGTTGTCCCTGAGGTAAATCTTCTTATCCACCAGCTCTCCCTTTTTAGCTCCCTTCAAATGACTGAATTGTAAAGAGGTTGAAAATCACTGGAACTATTCTTATAGAATGAATCACTGCTGAGGCTTATTCAAAAGTTAAACTAGAGAAAATGTTTATTGATATATTTGAACAAACAACTATCTTCTTTAATGAGGCACACAACTTTAATGGTTACTGAGGAACACTATTCTTAAATGGTTTCAGAAATACAATAAACTTGGTGGTTTCCCTAAATAGGTTTCCTTCCTTAAACGTGAGCAAGTTCCCTCACTCTACCCTAATCCAGTAGCAGCGAGTCCCTCAGACAAACCAAACCTGGTTATCCCCAGAGTAAATAGTTTCCCTCTTAACAGAGATCACTAACAGCTAAACTACTCTGACCCCCAGAGAGCAAAACAACTTGTGTCCTAAATCCAACACAAGGTGTCTACTTTGACCCTCCTGGTCAAATACTGCAGAATCACCTGCCCCAAAAATACTCTCTGACAGGAAAAATCTATGCTCACCAAAAATCCGCCACCCTCTCCCTTCAAAGCCAAAATCCAATCTCTCTCTCTGTGAGAAGCTGACAGCCTTTTTACTCCCTCGGCTAAAACTCCTCCCATCCAGCCTTAGCCAATCCAGAGACAGCTGAGCTCCTCCCCTCTGCTGTTCTAACACTCTCAAGATGTCTGCCTAACTGAATTACCTTCTCAAAATGGAGGCCAGCTTACTGACATCTTAGGCTCCAGCTGCAGCCTATAAGGAAAGGATCACTACACCATAGTTTCCCCTTTCCTGGGGTAAGTTAAGGGACTGCATGGGCAAACCCCTGACCTGGAAATCCTCATCATCGTTGGTCAATCCTTCCCTGGATTATTATTTCCAGTTCTGACCATCTGAGTTCAAAAATGTCCAGAGGAAACATACCATACAACCACAGTGGAGGATCTATTCTAGCAAATGCCTACAGAGATAATTTTCCCTCAAGTGTAAGTAAGTGAAATGATAGATATGGATCCTGCTGTTCTGCATGCCATAAAATACTTGTAATATATTGGGGGTCATGGGGGAGATTCCACATTTCCTGAGAAGATGGGTGAGCACAGTTGCCCTCTTAGTTTGTGGCAAAGTCTTGTACACTTAAATGTAAAGCTCAGATTGAACCTTCTTGGGGTAAACTCGAAGAGTATCTCTTTTCGCTACTAACAAATTTCCCAAGTCACATATATTCATTTTGAGTGATTTAAATGCAAGGATCGGTCCCAATAATACTGGGATGAAAATCCAATATCCAGCATTATGAAACTTAAGGGACAAAGGCCATTTCCCCCTTAGAAAATCAAATGACCAGAAAACAATTTTTTTCTGGCCCAATTCCAGTTTAAACTGGACCTTCTGATTCTTAATGGGTTGGTCCCCAAGGATAGCTGGGTGCTATCTTCACCTTAAACTAGAAACTGAAAAAAAACAGGATGTCAGTTTTCTGGACTTGCCTGTTTGGGACCCAGTGTCTTTTGACACTATTCTGGACTTAATCCACCAGTTGAAGAATGGTAAAGCACCAGGTATTGATCATGTCAAAAGGGACAGTGCCTTTTGTGAACTGCGTTCTCACTTTTTCCCCAAGTGCCTTGAGGATACACTATGCTGGGCCTCTCCATGAGGTGTTAACCTGCCCTGATTGATTCTTGTCTGGTATTCCTCTGTTTTTTGAGTTTTGCTCTTTACTTGCTTACTGGTAGCCTGATTTTGTTCATTTTCATGGTTTCCTCCTTTCTGTTGAAATTGTCCACATGCTTGTGAATTTCAAAGGCTTCTCTGTATAATCTGACATGGTAGTTGTTAGAGTGGTCCTGCATATACATTAAAACCAAAGATTTAAAAAATCTCAATCTTAAAACCAATTAATTACAACCGCGCAATCCAAAGGCATCATCCCGGAGCCATTCCAGTAGTCAGGTAGCCAGGATAAGACTACTTCCTGTATTAGATTCAGGTTGAAACTTGCCTTGTATATATTTGCAGTGTTTTTACCCTTGTTCATATGCATTTAGGATTGAATCATAGAATCACAGAAAAATAAAGTTGGAAGAGACCACATGGGCCATCTAGTCCATTCCCCTGCCATGCAAAAAAAGCACATTCAATGTACTTGTTGTGCTTTTAAGTGGTCTTATCAGTTTATGAATCTGCTGTGCACTTTTTTTCGGTGAGCAAACTGGTCTTTACACTGTAATAAAGATTGATTAATTGATTAAATAACTTGTTGTGCCTGATGAAGGAGTATAATAAATAAATGTGAAGCTTACTGAACAATAGAAATGAATATTTTGAAAGAAATGGAAGGAAATGAAAAACTTAGAAAAACAATATAGGGTTCAATTTCTCTTTTGGTTCTTATTCAAGATTCAGAAATTTTCACAGACTATTCAATTTCCATTGGTCAGTGAAAAAAAATGGGACAATCCTAACTTTGCCAGAGAAGACTGTCCAAAGACTTGGGAGCAACCACCATGTCTTGATCCCCTGATCTTTCCTGGGAAGTTTCCTGGTGGCATTGTGAGAATGGGTCTTAATTTGCCTCTGCTTTATTTCCAACAGGTGATGAATGGAAAAGTGAGAATGAGGGGCAATTGGGTGAGGATTCCTCAGAAAGGATAGAATGTGAAGCGTTGAAGGAGAATGTTTGGAGCCAAGGTGGGCCAGCGAGCCAAGATGAAAGCCACACGGAAGAGCTGGAAGCCAAAGCCTTCCCATTTCTGGTGGGGGACCTTCACAGAATCTCAGTCCAGCAGGAAAGCGAGAAAGACAAAAAAGGAATTGCTCTCCCCAGTGTTCATAGTAGAATTCGCCCTGCGGATGAATCGGATTCAATGTTTCCAAAGAGTTTTAGTCAGAGTGGAGACATGACTGAATGTGAAACGCTTTATGAAGGGAGAAGTTCCAACATAGACCTGAATCAGAGTATTTCTGCAGATGAGAGACAATGTATGAATTCAGATCTTGGTAAGATGAAACATCCAAGGATCCAAAAAGGGAAGAAGCTGTTTAAATGCTTGGAGTGTGGGAAATGCTTTGGTAGGAAAGACACTCTCAAGCAACACCAGATAATCCACACTGGGAAGAAGCCGTATCAGTGCTTGGAGTGCGGGAAGTGCTTTGGCCGGAGTTACAGTCTCAAGAAACACCAGAGAATCCACACTGGGGAGAAGCCGTATGAGTGCTTGAAGTGTGGGAAATGCTATGGTCAGAGAGCTAATCTCAAGAAACACCAGAAAATTCACACTACCGAGAAGTCGTATCAGTGCTGGAGTGTGGGAAGTGCTTTGGTGAACGTGGTAATCTTAAGCAGAATCAGTTAATACATACTGGGGAGAAGTCGTATCAGTGCTTGGAGTGTGGGAAGTGCTTTGTTCGGAGAGCCCATCTCAAATCACATCAGAAAATTCAACCAGGGGAGAAGCCCTAGAAATGTATGGAGTGTGGAAAGAGTTTCAGCAACCGGTCCACCTTTGTCAGACATAATAGCATCCACACCAGAGAGAAACCATACTCCTGTTCAGAGTGCGGGAAGGTCTCCAGCCAAAGTACCAGCCTGGCTTTACATCAGAGAATCCATGGCAAGAGAAGATGCCACACGAACATCAGCATTTGCTGAATGTCAGAATGGCTGTGTAAATGCAATGAACAGTCTAGATGCATCTTAAAAAGGAATACGCTATACCAGGCGTCCCCAAACTTTTAATGCTGAAGGCTGGTTCACAGTCCCTCAGACTGTTGGAAGGCTGCACGATAGGTTGAAAAAATAGTGAACAAATTCCTATGCACACAGCAAAAATTCAATACTGCATCATACACACAAAAATAAACATACCATATCATATTATAAAACATACAAATACAATTAAACAAATGAAAGTCATACATAGTGCCGAGTCTTGATTTCCATACCGTATAGTTTTCCCACAGTCATTATTCAAACTCCTAGATTGAGGTCAAATTCCGCATTACTTTACTCCCTGAACGGCTGTGAACAAAGCAGGTCTTTAACCTTTTCCCGAAAACCAGGAGGGATGGGGTCAGTCTTATGTCACTGGGGAGGGAGATCCACAGCCGAGGGGCCACCAATGAGAAGACCCTGCCTTATATCCCCACCAGTTGCACTTGCAAAGGGGGTGGGACTGAGAGTAGGGCCTCCCTTTATGAGCCAACATAGCAGATCTTAAAGCTCTAGTTGGCTCATAAAGGGAGATATGTTGGACCAGAACTGTTTAGGGCTTTATAGGTCAAAGCCAGCATTTTTAATTGAGCCCAGTAGCAAACTGGCAGCCAGTGGAGCTGATGTAATGGGGGTTGCATTCTTCCTGTCTGCTACTCAAGTTAGAAATCTGGTGCTACCCACTGGACAACTTGGAGCTTCCAGACTGTCTTCAGAGGCAGCCCCATGTAGAACACATTGCAGTAG